TGAGGGCCGGGGGGGGGGGGATGAGGGTGGCACAAGCAGCAGCGGTGGCACAAGAAGCAGCACAGGCAGAGAGGCTGGGCTGAGAGATGCTTGCTGCCCAGCTGGCCAGCAGCAGGTAAGCCCAGCCAGGCAGGGCAAGGAGGCAAGCGGGCTCATCTGGTCCTGGCCAGGCGCACCTGGCTGTGCTCCTGCACGCTAATGCGCCCGCACGCCACACCTTCTCAGCCAGCCCAGCCACCGCATGCCTCGCCTCTCCCAGTCCTGGGAGGGAGCAGAGGGTGGAGGCAAGGCTGCCCCTGGTGCGGTGACATGGGAACGGGCACTGGCGTTCCTCGAGGAGAGCGGGAGGGAGCCAGACGCTCCACAGGGAAGGGCTGCCCTTGCTGGGGGGGAGGGAAGCTGCCCCCCATTGAATTAGCTGGCAGCCCCCCCCCAAGGCCCCCTCACAAAAAAAATCCCTAGCTACAGGGCTGGTGGGAAATCCACTTGAAAGATCTATCTGTAAGAACTGGTACAGCAGCCACTGCAGTATGGGAATAATAATACTGGTCTGCTCTATAAGGATTATCTTTTTTATAATCTTTAAAACTAAGGTGAACAAATTCCTTCGAAGTGCTACATACAACCGCTGAGCGCTATTATTCATTCATATCTCTTACCAAAGGTTCTTGCAGAAAGATTTGGTCTCGCTGAGCCAAGATGCATCCCTCTAGTTTTAATGGGGGCAACAGGTCCGGTTCAGGTTCATAATACCGTTTTATCTGCCACAGAGAATGGACAGATTAGTGTTTCATATCAAGAAACTGCTACCCACATCTTACTGCCAGGTGGTACAAGAGGAATGGGGGAAAGGGTGAGCAGTTAGTTTGAACTGAGAATGAACGAACCGTCCCTTCTTTAGGTGGCCACATTACTGGGCATGGTGCTGGTCACCTCCCCTTCCAGTTTTTCCTTTTTCTTCCAGCTACCACATGCTACTGACAGCTATTTTACACTGCAAATGCTTTGAGGCAGAGGCCAGACAAAAAAACTGTACACTTTCTAACTCTAAAACTCAACTAGCAGAGAAACATCAGGAGTACTTACAAGGAGAGAGCTGAGATTCTAAGCCAAGAGTCTATGTCTTTTTCTCTCCACCTGCCTGAAAGAAAAATCTTACTCTATTCCAGAGGGGAAGTCATTTTTGTTGATTTTTCTACCACAGATGAAGAGTTCTGTGGCATCTTAAAAAGCAGCAAATATATAACAGTGCATAGTTAATGCAATACTGCATTTATTCGTCTTTCAGGACTCTGTGGTTTGAGCTTACTGTAGTGTCCTGTACCTGTGATAGCAGTGTCTTCAGAACAGAATTACTCAGCTGGGAATTCCTACGCAGGACATCATAAAAACCCTGAGAACAGAGATGTGAAAAGGCAGCATTTATAAAACCAACCACCACTCCAGGTAATTCATTATTCTTTCTGCATTTAGCCCGCGGGTGTCAAGTGTGCCAACTCTCCTGGGCAAGCAGCCTTCCTACAACAAAAGGCAAACTAGACATGTGATATGGAAGGGCCATGGATAGGATCTCCCACGTTGCTACCATGATCAAAGCAAGGGTGTGTGTGCAAGAGGGAGAACAGGGAGAATCTAATCAGGGCCACAATGAAGGGCAATGCAAGTTAACTTTCCCCTGCACCAACTTAAATTACCCTTCTTTCCCCAAGCTACTCCATCCACTGGGGGAAAGATGCACCATTTGACCCCAGCATGTTCTTCTCGATGGAAAAATAGCCTCAGGGAGGGGAGCATTTATATCTGAGAAAAACCACAGAGGAAAGGTTTAGCCCTGCCTCCTTCCATCAGATTCAGCACCACCTCCCCCAACACTGTAGCCCTGTTCAGAATCACCTTCCTGACCCATAAAACCAAGTTAGTCCATCATGAGGCTTGCACCACCAGAAAGCACAGCAAAGACAGATCCAACAGCGATCATATAAAAGAAGAGAGAAAGAATCCTCCTCACCTCATACAGTATGAGTCTGACATCGGCCTGCTGACTTAAACATCGCCTCAGGCTGCCTAGGATTTCGAGGCAAAAGGCCTCATTCGCCACTGAGTTATACTGGGAGTGAACATCCACCTGGACCTGGAGAGCAACACCAGAGAGTCATGCAAATATGCTCTTGCTTGCCCTAATTAAGACTGAAGTCCTAGACACACCTGCCTTGGAAACAAGCCTAACCTGAACACAGCAAAACTCACTTTTGAGCAAGCCTGCCAATTGTATAAATTATCTTATATTCTAATAGTCAAGAGTGCCCCAATCTTCAGACGGGAGCCTTTTACACAGAAGTAAGATTTTTCTACAATTTTGGGGGAGTCTTGCAGAAGAATCTAAAAACTGTTTAAAATGGGGGGAGGTTAGATCCACCCCCAAAACAAGAGCTCCACTAGGCCAGGCATGGGGGCCACTGCCCTTGATGTGGTGAAGCAAACAGCCAGGCAGGGGAGTCACAGCTGCCACAGCCACTGCTGTCAAGCGAGGGGGGAGGAGGCTTGCGGAGCCACTCCTGGCATTGTTGAGGCAGGGAAGCAGCAGGTGCTGGGGGGAGTTGAAGGAGAAAGGGGGGGCAGAGCAACGAGGAGAAGGGTGGTGGTGGGCAGAATGGCAGTGGGAGGTGGGTAGAGATAAGACTGAGGGGAAAAGGCACAGTTGGGAGAGCAAGGGGAGGCAGGGACCGGTGCTGGGGGTAAGGGGAGGAGTACAGTGTGGATGGAAAAAAATGGGAGGAATCATAGAATGTTAGAGTTGGAAGGGACCTTGCAGGTCATCTAGTCGAACCCCCTACACTCTGCAGGAACAAAGCCAAAAGACTGCCCTACAACATACCCAAAAGATGGCCATCCAGCCTCCACTTGAAAATGTCCAGCGAAGGAGCATCCACCACCTCCCGAGGCAGACTGTTCCACTGCTCAACCACTCTTACAGTTAAGAAGTTTCTCCTGATATTTAGCCTGTAACAACTCCCTTGTAATTTCCACCCATTAGATCTAGTCTTGCAATCCGGAGCAAGAGAGAATAGATCCGCTCCATCTTCTACATGACAGCCCTTCAAATACTTGGAAGACTGCAATCATGTCCCCTCTAAGCCTTCTCTTCCCCAGACTAAACATACCCACCTCTTTCAGCCTTTCCTCATAAGACTTAGATTCCAACCCTCTCACCACCCTGGTTGCCCTCTTCTGGACACTCTTCTGGAGGTGATGGCAGTGAGAGGAAACAGTAGAGAAAGGTGGCTGGTGTGTGTGTGTGTGAGAGAGAGAGAAGTCAGAGGACAAAGCAGGGAATTTTCCCGTGCATTTTTCATGGGTCCCTGCCACCATTGAGGCCAGCAAGCTGCCACTGCTGAGGTGGTGAAGTGGCAAGGTGGGTGGCTGGCCAGGTGAGGGAGCTGCTGCTGCCACAATTGAGATGGCAAAGAGGCCGCATGGATAGGCAGGGAAGCCGCTGGCCCTGTTGAGGCAGTGAAGTGGCCGGGTGGATGGCTGGAAGGGCAGGGGAGCCACTGCTCTCACAACTAAGTCTGGAAAGTGGACAACGGGAGCTGCTGCCAATCAGCCCTGGTGAGCTGCTGCCTCTGAAGACAAAAGAGGGGCTGTTGATTCTGACTTCATGATTCTTAGCTGGGCTGGACCCCACTGCAGCCTGGCCTACCAGTCTTGCTCATTCTGGAACTGCCAGCGCCCCATCACGTCCAGTCCTGAAAGCTCTCTAGCCTTTGGACCATCAGAATGGCCACAGAGAGCTGACCACCAAATACGAGCCCGGTATGGTCAAAAAATGAAAGTGGCTGTGGAAGCGCTCTCAAATTCATGGTTTATTCCCACAAATAACACTGAAGGATCTGAGAGAAGACTGCAGATGCTGGCAGGAAAAAATGAAGCTACTGTAAAGACTCTGAAAGCTTACAGTACAGGAGGTCAGAAAGAGAGTTATAAGGTAAGGGAGACAGAGAGAAGGAGTGACAATCGGCATGGATTGAGAGTGGCAGAAAGTAAGAAAAGGGGTGGGGGGAGGGAGAATGATAGAGAATGAGAAAAGTGGGGGGAAAGGAGAGGAGGCAAATGTGGGGGGAATGGGATCATTGCTCCTCCAAGTTTCCTGAGGCTCCCTGCTTGTATAATTATATTTGTAGTGTATCTTGTTACAAAATTTTCAAACTTGCACTGTCATTTTGTTTTCTCATTCCCAGTTTGGTGTCGTGGTTAAGTGTGCGGACTCTAATCTGGGAGAACCGGGTTTGATTCCCCACTCCTCCACTTGCACCTGCTGATATGACCTTGGGTCAGTCACAAGCTCTGGCACAGCTGTCCTTGAAAAAGAGCAGTTTGTGTCAGAGCTCTCTCAGCCCCACCCACCTCACAGGGTGTCTGTTGTGGGGAAGGGAAAGGAGATTGTAAGCCGCTCTGAGACACCTTTGGGTAGTGAAGGGCGGGGTATAAATCTATTCTCTTCTTCTTCTTCTTCTCTAGCAAGTTTTTGTAGCTCCGTGTCTCCCCCTCCCCTCCAAGCACTGGCTGTGGCACTCTTCAAGTAGAGCACAGAGGGGATGGCTTCCTCTTGCTCTTTGTCCCCAGCATCTGGCATTCAGAGATATGTTGCCTCTATAAATGAAGGTTCCATTAAGCTTATAGGTAGTGGCATCACCTATGAATCTGCCTGATCTTTTTAAATAGCACATCTCCCTCCGCCCATCTTGTGGTAGTGAGTTCCACAAACTACATTTATTTCTTATGCCACCATGTATATACATTAGTGCAGCAGGTAAAACAGGTGCCTTGGACTGATGGGAACTTCTGCAGTGAGCAGGCATAGCACATACCTGACTTGCACCAATTGCTTGGCTGCAGCTGGAGGAAGTTAAGCTGCCCAGAATCTTGAAATTCTTCAACAGAAGCAAAAACCCAGCAACTGCTGACTTACGAGCATCCAGCTGCCTGTGATTGAGAAAGAAGAGGGGGAGAAAATACTCCTGTTGGGAAACCTGGAACACATTGTATACTGAGGCAACAATGAGCACAGCAATACCAATTTAAGTTGCCCATGAAAGTTGGGAGTGAGGTCCTAGCAAGAAAAAAAGGTTGGGGAGGGGATCAGGATGGATAGAAAGCAATTTTAACCAAAAAAACAAACACCCAAGTATTTTTCATTGATATTCATTTTAAAATTCAATTCCATTAGATTAAAAAAAAAAAAGAATTTCATGCATTTTATTCATCGTGACAGGCTATAAATAAGTTAAGACTATCGGTCCAACCTGCT